TTCTTAATTACTTTTCCTTGGGCTCTTTCCCTGATTCTAATGCTTTGCTTTAATCAGCTCTTTCTCAATCTTTTCTGTTCTACTTTACTTGCTTTATCTTTTAATATTAAGAAATCGGTCGGGTTACGACAGGATGTTTCGGCTAATCTTTTAGCCATCATCAGCGCACGAATTAAAATTAAAATTAACCGGAAGATAGAGCATATCGCAAATTCTCAGAAGAAGAAGTATTCCACCAGACAAAAAAAGCGCAAAGATCACTTGTAGGGAAGGGGGTAAAGGGGGGAGAGGGGGGTTTAGAGAGAATGATGATGGGGATGATGGAGGAAACAAGATTTGTCTGGAGTAGGGTAGAGGAAAGTTTGGGGGAAATAAGAAGGGAACTAGAGGAAATGAAAAGAAGAGAGGGAGAATGGAAATTAGAGAAAGAGCGATTGATAGAAAGGATGGATATGTTGGAGAAAAAATTAGAGAGAAGGGAGGGGGGTAGAGATACAGACGGAATAGAAAAGCTGGAAAAAAAAGTTGAAAAATTAGAAGAGGAGGGAGGGGTGAGAAGGGAGAGAAAAGAAAATAGGAAAATAGGGTTGGTGGTTGAGAGAATGGAAGAGATGGAAAGAAAGATGGAGAGGAGGGAAAAGGAGGAAAGAAGGAGGAATGTGGTAGTAAAAGGTTTGAGAGTGGAGGATGGTAAAGTGAAGGAAGGGATTGAGAAGGTGTTGGGAGAGATCGGAGTAAGGGTGAGGAAGGAAGAAGTAAGGCAGATAAAGACAGGTAAGGAGGAATGGGGGGAAATGGTGATAGTGAGATTAGGAAGTGAGGAGGAAAAGAGAAGAGTTATGGAGGGGAAGAAAAAGCTGAAAGGGGGAAAAATATGGATAATGGAGGATTTGACATGGAAGGAAAAAAGGACAAAATGGAGGTTAAGGGAGTTAGCGAGAGCGGAAGAAGGTAAAGGGAACAGGATATGGGTAGGGAGTGAAAAATCTAAATTAATGGGCAGTGGTGGTTCTGGGATGAAAAGGGAGAGAAGTTAGTAGATGTGAGGGGGAGGGAGAGGGGATTGGAGGTGGGAAGAGCCGGAAGGGGGGAAGTTGGGGAAGGGGCGGTAGACAGAGAGGAAATGAGGAAGTAGAAAGGGAGGGGGTGGAGATTATCGGTAGGGAAAGTAGAGGGGGAGGGGGTGGAAATTACCAGTATGGAGGGTGAAAAGGGGGGAAAAGGGGAAAGGGGGAGGAAAAAGGAAGCCAAAGAGAAATGGGGTCAAAGGTGCTGAGAGAGAAAGGGAGGGAGGGAGTGTATAAAGTGGCATTTTGGAATGTGGCAGGGCTAGGGAATAAGGGGAAAGACTTTTGGAGAGAGGTAAAGGAATGGGATATAATAATGCTATGTAAGACGTGGTTAGACGTAAAGGGGTGGGGGAGGGCTAAGAGGTATCCACCGAGATGGTTTAGATGGGAGGTGCAGTTGGCGAGAAGGAAAAGTAAAAGAGGAAGAGCTATGGGAGGGATGCTAGTGGGGATAAGAATTGTAATCGAGGTAGAATCAGTAATGATAAGAGAAGGGATGGAGAGAATAGTAGCGGCGGAGATAGGCTTGGATAGGGAAAGGTGGAGGATAGTGGGGGTGTATGTGAACAGAGATTTGGATAGGAAAATGGATATCATGAGAGGATGGATGGACGAGAAAGAGACGGAATACAGAACATTGATAGGGGGAGATTTTAATGCCAGGACGGGGGAAAGAGGAGGTAGAGTGGTGGAAGAGGATTGGGAGGGAGGAGGGGAGGGTAGATGATCGAAGGACAAAAAGGTAAATAGGGTGGGGAGGGTGTTGCTGGGAAGAGTGGAGGAAGTGGGATGGGAAATCTTTAATGGGGGAATGAGGGGGGACAGAGAGGGGGAATGGACGTATACGGGGGTAGGGGGGAGTCGGTAATAGATTATGTATTGGGAAATATAGAGGTGAAGGAGAGGATAGAGAGAATGGAGATAGGGGACAACATAGATTCTGATCACCATCCACTGGTAGTCTGGATTAAGGCGGGAAAGGAAAGGATAATAAGGGGAGGAAGAAAGAGAGTAAAAAGATGGGTTTGGTTTATGGAGGGCAGGAAGGAACTTACGGAAATGTTGGGGGAGGTAGAGGGGGCGCTAAGGGAGTGGAGGAGGAGTGGAGTGAAATGAGAAAACGGATCCAGGGAATACTGGAGAAGGGGAGTAAATTAGAACAAGGGAGGGCAGGAAGGGGGTGGTGGGATGAAGAATGTGAGGAAGGGAAGAGGAGGGTAAGGAGGGAGTTAAGGAAATGGAGGAAGGGGGAAGGGAAGGCGTACAGGGAGGAGAAGGTGAGATACAAAGAGATATTGGAAGCAAAGAAAAGAGAGGAAAATGAAAAGTGGGAGAGGGAGATGCAACAGGTAAAAACGGAGGGGCAAGTATGGGAGGTGGTAGGCAAGGACAGAAAAAGGAAAAAAAGGATAAATGAAGGAATAAGAAAGTAAGAGTGGGACGGCTACTGTAGAGGTTTATTAGGGAGGGTGGATGGTAGGGTCGTGAGGGGAAGGAGAGGGTTGAATGGGGAGGGGGAG